CAATCGTAAAAACTAACCTCTACATTCTTCCTTAGCAGAGATTTAAACTTAAGAAGCAAGCATTGATTTTCAACTAAATTTGGATTCATTTCGTTTGCACAGGAGATGACCAGTCTCACTAACGAACCATTGAAGATTGTTAACCCTTCTTGATATACCTGAAACAGTGAGAGTTTTTAAAGGAAGTAATTGGTAAGTTTTTTTGCTTCTAGTTTGATTTATTAGCTAATAATCACGAGAGGAAAACTTTGACTGCTAAAATGCAGTGGAAGTTTGCATAGCCGGCTATTATATTGTATGTATATTAATTCAAGATAATAGATAATGGCTTTAGATTAGAAATATATTTTGCTACCTAATAGGTACTAAACGCAGTGTATAGACCGTTAAATGGAATAGAATTGAGGGGAAAAGCAAAAGCACCTTAAAAATATGAAAGCCGTAATGTTCAAACTTCATGCTTGCATGTGGCTCCAACTTACGATTTCAAAAATGTACACATTGTCATTGCACATAATTGTACACATTGATCGTCCTCACACAGTCTGTGTTTTTTAATATACAACTTTACACGATTGATTTCTTTTAGCTTTCCTTGGCGAATATTATTAGTTTATCTATATTGATGAACATTATTATATTTCTAAGTGCATTCTTTGCTGCAATTAGTGTCTTCCCAAAATGCTTTACCTTTAACGTTTTAATATTGCTCGAATTACCAGGGCCACTTTCGATGGAGACCAACTTCTTGGTACTAATTTCCGTGACATTCTGCCACTGAACATTATCACTATACACGATTTTGGATTTCGACCATTCGGCGTCGCATTTTGCGTTTTCATAGAAGATCGGAGCAGAAAATTGGTGAGAACAAAGATTTTCACGACACGTTTCCTTGTCCAGATAAAGCATGAACCTCTCATTGTGAAAACGGTAGCAACCTTTACAAATAATGATGTATAAACTAAAGTGTCTAAATACATGCATTTATTTTTTATCAGTGAAAATGAAGCAATCTGATTGGCTGAGGTGCCTTTCAGAGCGGGCCGGTTTTTTGCATTCGGCCCGCTCTGAAACGCAACTGCCCGCATAGGCAGCCCACTGAACGACTGAATTCAAATTAAAACTACAATGAAATTATAAAATTTAACGAAAATAATCACAAATTAGCGAAATATATTGCAAAATGTAGCTTATATTAAATCTCCACTCGATTGCACTATCGGCGAACTGACGTATATTAAAGTATACCTAAGGTTGGCAAGAGGTTTTAACTGATTGAACTACACACAAAAATATATCCGTAGTATTTTAAAAAGCAGAAAGAAACTAGCCCTAAAAACAACATAAACATAAACATAAACATAAACATAAACATAAACAAGGATAATTTTACTAACCTGTCTGTAACTTTTTTTGTCAAAGTACAGCTTTAAATGTTGATAAATTTACGAAAGTTTACGGTGTTTTCTCGATATTTTTCTCTGTGACTATGCGGGATGCTCGCATCCTGCTACTGGACAAATTTTTCAAAATAAAACTCTGCTGTTCATTGGCTGTAGCAAGTTTCGTCGTCAGCGATTTCGTTCGTTAAGGCCTGTTTAAACGGATCCAACATTGTTGGACCAACATCATCCAACAATGTTACTATACTAGATATGACTGCTTCTCTTTCAAATCTTTTTGGTTAGATAAGCTTTACTCAAACTCTAAACCTAG